GATGGTGGCATGAGTCATGTGGCACCAGCAGCGGGCCACGCTACTACCGACGCTGCTGACTCTGCACAATTACAACCAGCCTCACCCAACCCCACACTCCCACAACAATCACAACTACAACCTCCACAACCACGTTTCAATATCCAGAACCCACCAGCTGACCGCATCTGGAATTGGCAGCAAGGTGACGAGTTTGTTCCCAGTCCCCGTGACTTTGATGAAACACAAAGTGGAATACGGCCATCATGTACACTTGGGAACAATGCCACTGAACTGGAATGCTTTCAGTTGTTCTTCGGTGAATCCCTGATGGACATTATTGTCAGGGAAAGCAATACAGTGGACCCCCGGTATTCGATATTAATCCGTTCCTGAGAGCTCATCGAATACCGAAAATATCGAAAACCGAATCAATTTTCCTCATAAGAAATAATGGAAATCAAATTAATCCGTGCAAGACACCCAAAAGTATGAAAAAAAAAAAAATTTACTACATGAAATATTAAGTTTAATGCAATAGAATAATTACAATAACAATAAAATAATTGACACTTACCTTTAATGAAGACCTGGTGATGATTGATGGGATGGGAGGAGGGGAGAGGTGTTAGTGTTTAGAAGGGGAATCCCCTTCCATTAGGACTTGAGGTAGCAAGTCCTTTTCCGGGGTTACTTCCCTTCTTCTTTTAATGCCACTAGGACCAGCTTGAGAGTCACTGGATTTCTGTCGCACAACATATCTGTCCATAGTGGCCTGTACCTCCCGTTCCTTTATGACATTCCTAAAGTGTTTCACAACATTGTCCTTGATTGCCGTTTTCCTGGTCACTATAGTAGAGATGGTTGATTGGGGTTTATTATACAACCTAACCAGCTCCGACACACTCACTCCACTTTCGTACTTTGCAATTATCACTTTCTTCATTTCATAAGTCATTAGCGCCTTTTTTCTCGAAGGGTTGGCACTAGAAGCTTTCTTGGGGCCCATGGTGACTTATTTTGCAGAAACAAGCACCAAACACAGTGATAATATGGGTAATATGGAATGTACCGAATGTATCCTTAGATGCGCGCACACTGGCTGGCTTGTAAACACTGGCACACACGGGGCAGTTCAGGCCACATGTGGACACTCGTACGAATCGTATCGAATACCGGGTTTTCAATCGAATACCGAGGCAATTTTTTTGCGATATAATGCATCAAATACCGGATTTATCGAATACCGATGCCATTGAATACCGGGGGTCCACTGTACATACTTTGAGTACACCATGGCAAACAATTCTTTCACCAAGATCACGCCTACACCAGTGGAAGGACACAACTGTGGCAGAGGTGTATCTGTTCTTTGCCACAATAATGCTTATGCCACGTGTATAAGCACACTATCAAAACATACTGGTCGACAGACCGCCTGATTTCAACCCCAGCTTTCAGTGACATTATACCAGTGAATAGATTTGTGCTACTGTTACGTATGCTACACTTTTCAGACAAAACAAGGCCTGACAGAAGCGACAGGTTATAAAAGATCAGAAATGTGTTTATGTACCTGAAACAAAAGTGCTCTATGTATTTTTATCCCTTCAGGAAGCTTGTTATTGATGAGTCTTTGATTTTGTTCAAAGGAAGACTCTCATTCAAGTAGTATATACCAAGCAAGAGTAAACGCTTTGGTATAAAGTTATTTGTTCTGTGTGGTTGCAAAACTGGTCTAGTTTTGGATATAATTGTGTACACTGGCAGTAAAACATTGCAAGATACCAGGAAGCTACTGAGTATCTCTGGTGATGTGGTTAGAACAATGATAGAATCATATCTTGGTAAGGGGCATATTTTATATACAGTGGAACCTCAAAAATCGAACGTATCACATATCGAACGTTTCAAAAATAGGACCATTTTTTCGGACAAACTGTGTCCCTATTATCGAACGCGCCCCTATTTTCGGACCACCAGGTACGGGACCTGTCTGCCGCCCGCTCTGTCCACGTCCCCGCACAGGCGCCGTGAGCAGTCTAGCTTTGTTTATGCTTGAGTGAACACTAACCTGCGCTCTCATTCACGCATTTTACGATTATTTCGTTGTGCTTAGTGCTTGTGGGACTGTGAAATAAGCTGCCATGAACCCAAAGAAACTTGCTAGTGGTACCCCTGTGGTAAAGAAAGTGAGAAACACCATAGATGTGAAGAAGGAAATAATACAGAAGTATGAGAGTGGTGTGAGACTTGTTGAGCTTGCCAGGATGTATGGGAAAAACAAGTCGACCATCGGTTCTATCCTGTCAAAGAAGGAACAAATCAAGGAAGCTGATGTTGTGAAAGGTGTTAATATAGGGAGTGGATGAGGTGCCTTCTTCAAAGATTAAGGAGATTTGTGCCAAGTGGAATGATGTCCAAATGTTTGTGCAGAAGTACCACCCTGAGCAAGCTGAAACAAGCCATCTTTGCAACAAGTTCAGTGACAGAACCATGTCCCATTTTTGGGAAATGTTAAAGAGGCACCAGAAACAGAGGACTGTGGACAGTTATTTTGTGAGACAGGGGTCCAGTGACTCTCAAGCTGGTCCTAGTGGCATTAAAAGACAGAGAAGGGAAGTAACCCCAGAGAGGGCTTTACCTGAAGTCCTCATGGAGGGGGATTCTCCTTCCAAACACTAACCCCAACTCCCTCTCTCCTCCTCCCTATCTTCCAGATGCCATCACCAATCTTCAATAAAGATAAGTAAAAATGTTATTTTATATGTATTACTATACATAGTATAATTAAAAACTATAGTATTTGTTGTATGTAAAACTGTAATTAATCTCTATAAAATGCATTTTTTGTGTGAATATTTTTGGGTTTCTGGAATGGATTAATTGTATTTCCATTATTTCTTATGGGAAATATTGCTTCGAATTTCAGACTTTTCGAATTTAGAACTAGCTCCTGGAATGGATTAAGTTTGATTTTTGAGGTTCCACTGTACTGACAACTGGTACACAAGCCCTTTACTCAGTGATGCGAGTGAACATGACAGATGTGTGTGGCACAGTGCGTGGAAATCGTAAGCATATGCCTAGGCTCGACGCTGGCAGTCGTAGAGGTGAGGTGCAGGTGTTTGCTGCCAATGACATCATAGCATTTTGGTGGCATGACAAACGTGATGTCACACTGTTGACATCAGTTCACCGACACGAAATGGTAGACAGTGGCAAGCAGAATAGAGAGACCAATGAACCCCTTGTAAAACCTGCAGCTGTGATGGATTACAACCTCAATATACACTTAGTGGACAAATGTGACATGCAGATTGGGTTTGCTGATTGTGTTCGCAAGAGTTATAAGTGGTACATAAAACTCTTTTTCCATCTTCTTGACATTTCCATGCTGAATGCTTATACTATGTATAAGTTGAAGACCAACAACAAACCCAAATATGGTGAATTTTGTTTGTCAGTCATCAGACAAATAATATTCAAGTTGTACCAAGGAACAACACTTGCAATAGACCAGCGCCCACGAAATTATCAACACGTGTCTTCTCGTCTGAGGCCTGGTGATCACTACTACTCTCGAGAAAAATGCTCAGAAGAGGTGTTTTGCCTGTGGACATACCACAAAACGCCCACAAAAATGCAGAGACACTCGTTTTATGTGTTTTATGTGCTTATACCCATGTTTCAAAGAATTCCACAAGCTGCAGCCGTTTTAGAAAAGTGTCCAGTGATTGTACATATGTATATATATTATAGAACAATCGTAATAAAAAAAATTTTATATTGTTTGTTTGTGTAAACAAGTTTTATGAACATTATGATGATACTAGTGTTTTTGCTATACGTAATTGTGTTACATTCAACGAATGTATATATGAACATTGCACCATACTTTGTTCTCACAGGCCACAAAAGTTATGTGAAAAAATAAAATAGTGAAAAAAACAAGAAACCGTCAAATAAAAGTAAACCAAAGTTTACCGGGTGAGCGGCAGTCACCACTGTTGCCATACGCAGCTCATTTTCTGCAAACTTCACGCCTCTATATCTCGGTAAGTACTGATGGGAAAAACTTTTTTTTGGGGACTAAAACAATCAGAAAAATATTCTTAACATTTTCAAAAGAAAATCTTTTTTTTTTTTTCTAATATTTTGCGACACCAGGAGACACTTCAGGATTGGGCCTTTCGACAGTCAAAGGGTTAATTAGCAGTTACAAGCACTAAAAACAATGGAATAATACAAAATATATCGCATGTATGCCTGGAATAGTCCTCCCCGGCTTGTAAACAATGGCACACTACCTTGTACATAGGCTCAGGCCGCGCGGACACATTCAGGACGAATGTCCTTAACCAAGTTTTTCATCGTTAGCCGAGCCAATATTTTGACGCAAAAACGCATCAGTATCCGATTTTATCGCTATCTGATAGCATCATTAACTGAGGGCCCACTGTACCTGTATTTGAGTCACATAATATACTGTTTAATTTTTAGTCAAAATAAATAAATAAAAGTACAGCCTCTCCTCACTTAGCGACATACTTGTTTACCAATGCCTCAGACTTCCGATGGGCTCTCTGACCAGTATGCATACCTAAATAATGTATATTAGAGCTGATTTCTTCTATTCTGTTTATTACAATATACAGTACAGTACTGTATAAACATTTAAAAATATACCAGAAATGTTATAAATGGTGCAAAGGCGACATTAAAACAGTATCAAACATGGCACAAGCCCACTACCAGTATAGTATGCTCCTCACTTAGCGACGAATTCGTTTACCGACGTGGTCTTAGGAATGGAGCTTTGTCGTTAAGTGAGGAGAGGCTGTAATTAAAATGCCTTAGAGTTGATCGTACTTATAAATAGTGAATTTGAGATTTCTCAGCAACAGACATATATATTGTAGATGCTGCATGTACAAATCAGAGTGAATACTTTTTTTTTTAAACTATTAAAATTATATATACTTATATGGTTTTTAATGAGAACATTATTTTTCTCTTAGGGTGAGAAGTACGATGGTCGAAGAGCGGACGTGTGGTCATGTGGGGTGATACTATATGCCCTTCTAGTGGGAGCGTTGCCCTTCGATGATGACAACCTACGCCAATTGCTGGAGAAAGTCAAGAGGGGTGTATTCCACATTCCACACTTTGTCCCTCCAGACTGCCAGGACTTGCTCAGAGGCATGATTGAGGTCAACCCAGAGAAGCGCTTCACGGTGAGCCTACCTGTGCTCACACCTACACCTAAAACTGAACAAAAGCAACCTTACTTTTTTTTAAAAAATGGAATCTTTAAACTAATAACTGGCATCCCATCAAAATTTTCTCTCAGTTTTTTTTTTTTTTTTTTAAATTCTAACAGGAATCTTACAGTACTGTCAGCCTCTGACATTATCAAATCAAGATCACCAGACACACACCTCATATAAAAAAAAATTATTGACAAGTTAAAAAAATACTGTTTTCTGTAAATTTAACCCTTAAACTGTCCAAACGTAGATCTACGTTTGCACGCATAGCACTCCGAACATAGATCTACATTTTATTTTTCATTCCTGCAAATTTGGCGCAATAGGCCTGAGTCTCCTAGACATGAGAGAATGGGTCTTCGCCCTAAGTGTGCACAGTGATTCACTCACGCCTCGTTGTATTAACACTGCTATTCTCAGAAAGTGTAACAGAATGCAAGGTTAGTGAATTTGACAACGATATAGCCACTAACATTCAAGAAATTAGTGAAACTGTTGATGATAACCCAGATGACCCTCACCCCATCACCTCTGGGGTGGCCAGTGTGGCTATACCAAACCTTCAGCCCAGTACCTCTGGGGTGGCTAGTGTTACTACCCAAAGGCAACTCCGCAAGAGGAGATTATCATTTTCCAAGTGTTATAATGTTGATGATAGTGAAAGTGATATAAGTGACGACGATAAAATCAATTTTATGCCCGTAGAGGATTCGTCGAGTGACAGTGATTATCATTATTCCCCAGTGAAATGTACTTTTAGGCGGTGTAACCTACGTTCAGGCAGTGTGCCATATGCAGTCGGCGGCAAGGGTCATGGCAGGTCACGATCCAAAACCCCAGCTAGTGATAGTGATCATGAAGGTGAACATGCTGGGATGGAGGAAGAGGAGGTTGGTGGCATGGGGCCTGTACCTCATAGTGCGGTAGGTGGGCAGACAAAGGACTGCCCGGCACCCTCTCAAACATGTGCTGCCTCCACTCCTATCCCTCCTCCTGCTCCCCCACACCCCATGCCACAGGTCCACCCTGCACCATGTGACCATGAATGGAACTGGACAGAAAGTACACCATTCATGCTGTATCCTTTCAGTTTTGATGCCAGTGGAAGTGGTATCATGCCACACTGTCCCATCACAAATGAGTCTACAGAGTTAGACTATTTTCAACTATACTTTGATGAACTGATAATGAACCTGATTGTTACCCAGACCAACATGTACTACCGGTATACAGCGGGCCACATAGATGTTTCAGAATCGTCATGGCTGCGCAGGTGGAAAGATACAACTGTGGCGGAAATGTATTTATTCCTTGGTACTATGATGCTTATGCCACACACGTATAAGAACAATATAGCACACTTCTGGTCTACAGACCACTTCATCAATACTTCAGTGACCTCCTTCCCTTTAACAGATTCACTCTGTTGCTACGAATGTTGCACTTCTCACACAGGAATATGCCAAACTGAAATGACCTCCTATGCAAAATCAGGGAGTTATTTATGTATCTGAAGCAAAAAATCAGTGTCTACTTTTATCCATTCAAGAACATTGTTCTTGAATGGATAAAAGGGACGACTGTCACTCAAACAATATATACCAAGCAATCGCTTTGATATAAAACTCTTTGCTATGTGTGACTGTGAGACTGGTCTTGTGTTGGATGTCATTACCTACACAGGGAAAAACACACTCGACGATACCAGGCACACGTTGGGCATTTCTGGGGATGTTCGCAAGTTGATGCAGCCATACCTTTGCAAGGGTCATACATTGTTCACAGACAACTGGTGTACAAACCCTATGCTCAATGATTTCCTATGTGTGAACAATACTGATATATGTGGAACAGTGAGAAGAAGTAGAAAACACATGCCAAGGTTCACTGGAGGAAGTGTAGTGCAAGCATTTCATACCAATGACATCATGGCACTGATGTGGCATGACAAACGGGATGTGACGTTGCTGTCAGCCATCCACCAAAATGAGATGGTACAAACAGACTGAGCAAGCACAGCAATGAACCTATTGTAAAGCCAGCTCCGATCATCAACTATATGAACAATATGCGACTAGTCGACAAGTGTGACATGATAGGGTTTGTTGACTGTGTGCATAGGAGTCGCAAGTGGCATATAAAAGTGTTTTTCCACCTTGTGGACATTGCAGTGCTCATTGCCTTCAACGTGTACAAAATAAAGACAGGGAAGTAACAACAATATGCGGAATTCACCCTCAATGTCATCAAGCAGAATACGAAAAAGTATGGTACCACACCTATACCTGTCACTCCACAGTGATCTGTCACCCCACAACAGCGACCTGTCACCCCACAAGAAGAGAGGGAAGTGCCCAACCGAATAATCCCTGTCACTGCCTGATACCAATACCATCTACTCCAAAGAAGAAGTACTCTCAGAAAAAGTGTTGTGTGTGCTTACACTACACAGCGACCTCAAGTGCGAAAAGGCACATGATTCATGTGTCAGCAATGTGGGGTGGCACTCTGTATGGATCCATGCTTCTTGGAGTATCATACAGAGGTGGACTTCTAGAAATATAAATGGGACCTGTAAATACCTTGTGTGTATATATATATATATATAATATATATATATATATATATATATATATATATATATATATATATATATATATATATTTTTTTTTTTTTTTTTTTTATCACACCGGCCGATTCCCACCAAGGCAGGGTGGCCCGAAAAAGAAAACTTTCACCATCATTCACTCCATCACTGTCTTGCCAGAAGGGTGCTTTACACTACAGTTTTTAAACTGCAACATTAACACCCCTCCTTCAGAGTGCAGGCACTGTACTTCCCATCTCCAGGACTCAAGTCCGGCCTGCCGGTTTCCCTGAATCCCTTCATAAATGTTACTTTGCTCACACTCCAACAGCACGTCAAGTATTAAAAACCATTTGTCTCCATTCACTCCTATCAAACACGCTCACTGCATGCCTGCTGGAAGTCCAAGCCCCTCGCACACAAAACCTCCTTTACCCCCTCCCTCCAACCCTTCCTAGGCCGACCCCTACCCCGCCTTCCTTCCACTACAGACTGATACACTCTTGAAGTCATTCTGTTTTCGCTCCATTCTCTCTACATGTCCGAACCACCTCAACAACCCTTCCTCAGCCCTCTGGACAACAGTTTTTGGTAATCCCGCACCTCCTCCTAACTATCCAAACTACGAATTCTCTGCATTATATTCACACCACACATTGCCCTCAGACATGACATCTCCACTGCCTCCAGCCTTCTCCTCGCTGCAACATTCATCACCCACGCTTCACACCCATATAAGAGCGTTGGTAAAACTATACTCTCATACATTCCCCTCTTTGCCTCCAAGGACAAAGTGTCTTTGTCTCCACAGACTCCTAAGTGCACCACTCACTCTTTTTCCCTCATCAATTCTATGATTCACCTCATCTTTCATAGACCCATCCGCTGACACGTCACACTCCCAAATATCTGAATACGTTCACCTCCTCCATACTCTCTCCCTCCAATCTGATATTCAATCTTTCATCACCTAATCTTTTTGTTATCTCTCATAACCTTACTCTTTCCTGTATTCACCTTTAATTTTCTTCTTTTTGCACACCCTACCAAATTCATCCACCAATCTCTGCAACTTCTCTTCAGAATCTCCCAAGAGCACAGTGTCATCAGCAAAGAGCAGCTGTGACAACCCCACTTTGTGTGTGATTCTTATCTTTTAACTCCACGCCTCTTGCCAAGACCCTCGCATTTACTTCTCTTACAACCCCATCTATAAATATATTAAACAACCACGTGACATCACACATCCTTGTCTAAGGCCTACTTTTACTGGGAAAAAATTTCCCTCTTTCCTACATACTCTAACTTGAGCCTCACTATCCTCGTAAAAACTCTTCACTGCTTTCAGTAACCTACCTCCTACACCATACACTTGCAACATCTGCCACATTGCCCCCCTATCCACCCTGTCATACGCCTTTTCCAAATCCATAAATGCCACAAAGACCTCTTTAGCCTATCTATAATACTGTTCACTTATATGTTTCACTGTAAACACCTGGTCCACACACCCCCTACCTTCCCTAAAGCCTCCTTGTTCATCTGCTATCCTATCTCCGTCTTACTCTTAATTCTTTCAATATATAACTCTACCATACACTTTACCAGGTACACTCAACAGACTTATCCCCCTATAATTTTTGCACTCCTTTTATCCCCTTTGCCTTTATACAAAGGAACTATGCATGCTCTCTGCCAATCCCTAGGTACCTTACCCTCTTCCATACATTTATTAAATAATTGCACCAACCACTCCAAAACTAATCCCCACCTGCTTTAACATTTCTATCTTTATCCCATCAATCCCGGCTGCCTTACCCCCTTTCATTTTACCTACTGCCTCCACGAACTTCCCCCACACTCACAACTGGCTCTTCCTCACTCCTACAAGATGTTATTCCTCCTTGCCCTATACACGAAATCACAGCTTCCCTATCTTCATCAACATTTAACAATTCCTCAAAATATTCCTTCCATCTTCCCAATACCTCTAACTCTCCATTTAATAACTCTCCTCTCCTATTTTTAACTGACAAATCCATTTGTTCTCTAGGCTTTCTTAACTTGTAATCTCACTCCCAAAACTTTTTCTTATTTTCAACAAAATTTGTTGATAACATCTCACCCACTCTCTCATTTGCTCTCTTTTTACATTGCTTCACCACTCTCTTAACTTCTCTCTTTTTCTCCAAAATACTCTTCCCTCCTTGCATCACTTCTACTTTGTAAAAACTTCTCATATGCTAACTTTTTCTCCCTTACTACTCTCTTTACATCATCATTCCACCAATCGCTCCTCTTCCCTCCTCACCCACTTTCCTGTAACCACAAACTTCTGCTGACACTCAACACTACATTTTTAAACCTACCCCATACCTCT